GTGCACTTGTTGACGCTACGAACGTGAACAGCTGGGGTTTTTAGTGTGAATTCGTACCGTAGGATTTTGAACCGCACTCTTACTCTTGATACTTGGGATTGTTGAATCTACGCGTCGTTCAAAGATCCGTATCAAAAATCGCAACATGGTGTTTTTTTACTTAAGGATGAATCCTGAGTACTCATATCAAAATTACGTCCCCATACATCGCGAAAATTCATGCACTATTTTGTGAGTAGCTCTCTGGTAGCTTTGAAAACAGACAGTGGTCTGGTTCAATATCGGGCTACAGAGTGATTCGATGAGTGCAAAGCCAGTGAACACAAAAAGGCTTTCTTGGCACACGATAGATGGTCCCCTGTAACTGCAAAAGGGCAGCAATCGTCTGTGGTGCAGCGTAAAACCTTTAGGTGATAGGCGGTTGCAACTTAACCTAACAGGTATCGTGAATGCTTTTCGCTACTAGCACACACGATGGCACCAGAATACTTCTGCGAAAGTGGGTCATTAGTCCACAGATGTGGAAGGCCTTGTCTACACAGCTGTCAGGCCACCGTCGGCAACATATAACAACAGTCCCATTGGACGGAGAAAGCAAACTCTTATTTGGATCCCAGATTTGAAAGTGATCGGTTAGTGCCAAGCAGTGAATAGGCACACAAAAGGCAGTGATTGACGTACACGAATGCGTGTGAGAGCCAGATTGTAGAAGAGTGGATGTGGATGCGTTCATAATCACCGCTACTCAAGTAAAGACTGAGGATTCATATGCTACCAGCTAACTTGTATACAACCATTCAAGGAACTGGCTCAGAAAATTCGCCATCTGATCTCGATGTCAGCATGGCTCATCCAGACCAATACACAGCGCTCTTTATTTCAGGCTCCATTTCGGCCGTCCATCGGCACGATATTTGAGCTCCCGCCACCCTGTCTTAAGTGGTTCAATGGACTCTCTTGATGGCCACCCTGATGTATGAGAAAATCATAGTGCGTCCGCTTTTGCGAACAATTATCTTTTCAGTGTACGGCCAATCAGCAGAGAATTAGAAGATACCATAATGCTAGATACACGCTTATGTCCCAGTCCCGACCAATAACAGTGAGGGGAAAACGGCGCCTCGGGAGTGACAGCTAAGTAGAACATAATGTCACTCCCGGGGGCGTTGGTGGGATTCTCGTGACCAAATACAGAAACACTGGGTTGAAGCCACTCTTCTGAATCTTCGTCAGTTTGATTTACGCTGATTATTCTTGTCTCACAAACCTTGTATGCTCCACGGAAGAGGCGACCGTTCGTCTCCAGTGGTGTAAGATCTTGCTAGCTAAACGCTAGCAAATCTCTTAGTTCCGTCAAGGAGCACTTTTTTATGGTCTGACTGTTATCCTCTACGATATTTTCTATCATAATTAGTTGTATGAATGATTGCTTCTGATAGGGCCTTCCAGGTGTCTGTTAAACTGGCATTCTCACGCTGGTAAAGATGTCAAGCCAGACCCATCAGCGTTTTGTCATGGGCGCCCTACTTTTGTGTTATAATTTAACAGTCTCCTTTGAGGTTAAGAGTCCTCCTGCTTTACAGGTGCTGGTGGCGGGAAGAACGAGAGGCCAATAGACCAGTGAGCTCCTGTAGGAAACTGCGTCGAAAAATGCGTAAAAATCGGGATCGTCCATTCAGTGGCCCGGCAGGGACCCACAACCAAGCTGTACTTTGAGGGCCGTCCGGGAGGATTTCGCGGACATAAGCATCGATTACTGGTGTAACAGTGATACTACTGATGGGGAGACACGCGAGTAGTATGTGTTGTTCGTAGAATTTCGCTTTGCGTCTTTTGAAAAGGGGAGATCTGTTGCGTAATTTGTGGAGTCGCTTTGTAACATTTGCTTGGATTTGACCGACGAATGAGTGGAGTCAATGAATCTCCAGGAAAGTTCAAGAAGACCGGTTCGGGAGAAGATCGGTGTCCAGTTTTGTAACTAAGATGCACATTAGAGTTTTGCTTCCCTGTTCAATGGTCTGTAACCGGTCAGTTGGCATTTCCGAATGATTACCTCCGCAGCGAAGGCCTTCTTCCCTTCACCGATATTAATTCAAACTCGAGAACTCCCGAGGACAAATGATTGGGAGAAAGCAGTTGCGTTTTCAGACACCGTTGTATACCGTTAGTCTAATACTCCCGTGCAAGCTAGGTAGCCACTCCTCGCAAATGATTTAGACTGTTTGGAACTAGTGAACAAATTTTTAACCAGGAGATAGCGAGACCATGTTATAGATATCGAACTAAACTATTAGATCAATTTCCTCACTTCCTAGAAAATGACTTACGGATTACTAAAAGGGCCCCCGAAGGCGTTAAAGTTTTACCAGATTGAAGGCAATTCTTCTATTCACCGCCGGACGCCGGTGTTCCATCACTAAATAAGGAACTGATCGCCACACTGACGAGAGTATTATGTCACTGAGAATTTAAAGCGTGGTAGTGATCCAAACTACAACAATTAGCATATACCTACATGCAACGTTTAAAATACACTCAAAGATGATTTGAAGAACACTATTTCAAATTGGAGGAGGGTGAGAGGATCCTCGCTAAGAGTTCCAAATCCTTAACATAATCAGTGAACCTAAGTTTTTCTGATGCGCTGCTCGGTTGGTTTCACAAGTTAGGTGGCGTTTTGGAGGAGGCGAATGCCTACTGGGTCATGTAAGTCTATTCTAATCTTTGAAAGGCTGGAGTGGTTGAACAATTGCTATTGCCTCACTTAGCGGGTAAGTATGAAGCCGGTTGAGTGAGGTCATTTATAGAAGCATAACTAAAGAGCACCAGGAGAGAAGGGCGAGCCAACTTTAAACGATGGTATCACATACAACAAATGCGATAAACAGGCATGAAAATAAGAGATGTAACCAGCAAAACGCCTATTTATTTTGGGCGATGAACAGCGACACAAAAGCACATATCCATAGAAATGACGTGCTGCGCATAGTCTATCAGCTTCATGGGAATGCATAACTAGGATATAATGTGAATTTAATTATGAAGATTGTCGGAGGAATGAAGATGAAAGTCAGAAACGAGCATAAAGGAGGGAAGAAATTTGAGAAAGAGAAAAAGTGACATGAAATGTGTGCGCAACTAAAAATGGAAACAAAAAATGAAAGCGAATGCCACTGTTTCTCCGAATTGTCCCGCTGATTACTTTGAGCAATCATCTACATCATACGGACTCTGGGCGAACCCTAATCGGCTACTATAATCCCAGATTATGATTCTACTGACGATATCTTTTACCCCTCAATACCGATCCTGGACCTTTGTGCGATGCATTGTGGAACCACATTTCGTTCCTCGGGGCTGATTTTCATGTTCTCGGTGTGGTTCACCGTTGTCTCTCGAATCCGTCGGGAGATGACCAGTTTCTCATACAAATCCCTGAACAAATATTCTGCAGCCATCACTTCACACACCTCTTGCTTCTAGGTGATTTTAACGCTTCCAAAGCCTCCTGGATGAAGCTCTCGCGCGTCTGACCTAGTGGACAATGGCAGCGGTACTGACCGAATTCGCTCAACAGACCCCTGGAGGAAACGTCGCTCATGCTGTTTCTGATCTACTTCAACGACTTTCCAAACGTTCATCCAAATCCATGGCTACTGTTTGCGGACCACTTGAAATCCTGGATTTCAAGTGCCAGTGCCTTTCAAAGGGATGCAAACGCTGCAAAGTAGTAATCGTTGGATTGTGACTTTTTCGCGAATGGTGAAAAGTACATCCATGTGTTCTCCAGCGCGCTCCTTTGTCTTGCATGGTGAGAATGGACCAGAAGACACCACGAGGATAGATGCCAAAAAGCATTCGTGTATCTGGCTCCGTTCAAAAATGTCGTTCTCACTACACAATGCAGTCAGCTCAAAATGAATTCGCAGTTCTACGGACGATTCAGCGCACCTTCCACAGAATTAATCTCATGGGCTTCCAAATACTCTACGGGGATTACGTCAGGTTGATTCGTGAATACGCCAGCCAAGTTGTCTACTCAGGACGCAAGGAGGACACAATCTCACTGGACTGTCCAACGAGCTATTACGAAAATGACTTCAGGCTGAAAATCTGGAGTTAAACCTTGAACGCGTCTTGCAGTGCTTGACTTCTTTCAGAGAAGACATAATACTTGCTTATGCCCTGTTCGAACAAGCTTGGTCGACAGGTTTTTCACCGTTGGCGCAACTAATACACGGCGGGGGCTAGTAGGAAGATTTTGAAGTTCAGAGCACACAATTTTCTTACGCAATTTTTTTGTCATTGCAGGTGGTTTCTGCGTGGAACAAACTTCCTCCGACTGCTGTCTACTCTACATCTAGTACCAAGTTAAAAACCCTGTTGGATGGTTTTTGGAGTTCTCGAACTGGCAAGCCTACAACCCCGAACTGAGAACTTAAAGAGCAATGCTACACACTTTTTTGCTTTTGCCTTCCAAATGAATGACAGCCTCTGAACGATAAAAATAAAATTGATCGGGAAACTTGGACGAAGGCTTCTATCCTGTGCAGGAATTTGTGAATCCGTGAGAAATCGAAGCCTCTCTACAGCAGCAAAACGGGTAATCTCAGCGGGGTGGCTGAAGGCCGCTGCACCACTAGCTATTTACCGCTACTGTTCATCCAACATTCCTGCCAGCCAAAGCGTATCACTACCCTTTTTTGTGAGCACGAAATCATCGATTCGCCAATTTGCTGAACTGGACGAGTACGTCATGAGGTTGTGCAAGGTGGTCTTAGTTAATGGTAGCAGCGGCTGTTTTGAGTGTTTGCGCTACCCGGCTGATCCCTCGGAGAATCGGAAAATGGGCTGCACGTTTCCAATCCGAGGTCGACCAGCTTTTGCCGTCTGCTTTTACATATTTCCGTCTTTCGGTTATATCTCAGTATAGCGATAATGATACAAGAAGATGGACAGGTATGAGTAACTCAATTTCTACTTTATTTGCACAGATGGAAGAAGACTTGAGCAAGGAAGATCTTTTGCGCCTCCTTGCCTGCCTCCAAAGTGAACTCGAGGCTCGTGACGCTGTAATAAATACATTGAAGGTATCGAAAGCTTGTTATTTGCATTGTGCTTGAAGAGCGAGGCGCTGTGTTCAAGAATAACACCGATTTATGGAGTTCACCTCCGTACAGACGCGGTTGATAATTCTGAGGACCCATTCGTTGCATTACAAAGAGATTCGGTAATACGGCTTAGCTTCCTTTTGATATCTTAGTTGGTGTCGGGTGGCACATATGTGGAGGAAGGATCTAAATCCATTCACGATACACACCTTATACAGCTAGAGAAGCTTGTTTCTTCCCAAAGATCCGCTCAAGAAAAATTGCGTGAACAGCTCCAGAGTACTCAGGATAAATATATGAAGGTACACATGCCAACTAATTTATACATGGTCCAGACTTGCATCGCTCTAGAGCAACAGAGAAAATGTCACGAACGCAATGCTGCTCAGGGCGACAACGTGTTGATAATGCTGGAGAAAGAACGTGATAGGCTTCGATCCGAAGTACTTGTTTGACTTTTTCAAATCACTTTTAAGGTTGCATATGAGAAAGTTCAGAAGAAGAAGTTGGAAAGAATTCTGAAACGCGTGTTGGTAAGCTGGAAGCAGCAAAGGCTCCTGTTGGCGAGGCAGAAACAAGCGGCTGTCCTTGTTATCAAGGAACACAAACGTCTGTTGGCTCAACTATCTCACTACCGGAGACGTGTAAGCGACCTTGAGGCTACGTTATCCGGCAGTTCAGTTGACCCCGCTGGTGATGTGCCATTGGTATGCCAAACCTTTCAGCGCATTAATTTTCAACAGTGTGACTCCGATTCTGGAGACGAACCACCTGAAACCACTGAAAAACCTGCAGGCAGTGAAGGTCAGACCGATGTGTCTAGACTATCGTCAGGTGAATCCTCCCTACTTAAACAGCAGCTCACCGCAGAAATGACAGCGAGAACTGAACTTCAACGTAGTTTTGATAAGTAAGTCATGTAATCGTTTTTCACTTCACGTACAACAGCCCATCTCTTGCCACTATCTTATTCTTTTTCATTAAATGAAGCTCGAAGTCCTGGTTTATCGGCCACTTGCAACCAGCATAGCAGCATCACGGCCGTAAATCTGTAGGAAATTATTTCTAGTTCGAAAACGTGGCAATTCTTGCATCATCATCATCAACATCATCATCATCGACAGCATGACATCAGTGTTCAACACCGATGCTTCACTGCCGTACAACCATGACTTATTTGAAAGCCTTATTGTA